CTGTTCTTCTGCAGAAGGAGTATTCAAAAAAACAGTCCAAAAATAACGTCCGGGGACGATTCGTTGACCAATGTTTGGCTATGTGTGGATATTGTTGGACTATTTTTAAACTGTCGTCCAACATCCGCCAGTAGGGGGACATGCCCGACCTACAGTCGGCCCGGATTAGTAGGTCGACCCTGCCTCAGCGGTACTTTTGTGTCCCGTGTCTCGCGACCCGTGCCTCCTGCATTCCTGTGGCGATGTGGCCCTCGGAAGGGTCTTGTGTCCTCTCGCGCGTCCTGCCCAATCAAGTCCGAGTCCGACTGTAATTCTCGCGCCGAAAGGCCAGCCGCGCCCTCGTCTCAGGGGCCCGCGGTGGCACAGCGCAGGGCCGCACCTCAGGCCACACGGAGGGCGCGCACTTTGCTTGTCGTTGCTTGCTTTTGTTCGCGGGTAGCACGACCACACCGGTGGACTCCGCTCCCCAGTCAGGCTCCAGCTCCCGGGCGAATGAGTCAGGCGTCGGCGGGAGGAGGAGGAGGAGGAGGAGGAGGAGGAGGAGGAGGAGGAGGAGGAGGAGGGAGGAGGAGGAGGAGGAGGAGGAGGAAGGAGGAGGAGGAGGAGGGCAGGGCAGGGAGTAGGAGGAGGGGAGGAGGAGGATGGCAGGAGGGAGGATGAGGGATGAGGGAGGAGGAGAAGGAGGGCGAGGTGGAGGAGGATAAGCTAGGTGTGCTCGCGTCATATCTGACGTCCTACCCCCCCTCCCATCCCTTACCATGGCGTAGATCTCCTCTCTACTCGCACAGTCGGATGTCGCAGCAGGGCATAGCATTACATGGCATAGCATGGTGTTGGAGGTCAACGCGTAACATGACATAGCATGGCGTGGCGACGCCCCAGGGTGGGGGGGATTTCTGCGGCCCCAAGAATCATTTCCGATCGTTCTTTCGGAGGTCCATTTTCTAGATTTTGGAACATATTCCGAAGGACCGAAAACCATGCCGTGGCATGGCACTGGAAATAATGACGCCAGCGCTGCACAGTGGGAGCACGATTCGGAACGAGCGGAAGCGCGGAAATGAGGCCAGCGTTGCAGTGGGAGCGCGATTCAGAGAACTCGTAGCCTGACATAGCATGGCGTGGCGACGTCCCAAGTGGGGGAGGGGGGGGCTTCTGCGGCCCAAAGAATCAACGAATCGACACCGAATGTGGGATCATTTCCGATGGTTTTTCCAGGGGGCAGGTTCTAGATGTTGGGGCCGATTTGGAAGAACCGAAAACCATGCCGCGGCATGGCGCTGGAAATGATGACGCCAGCGCTGCAGCGGGAGCACGATTCGGAACGAGCGGAAGCGCGGAAATGAGGCCAGCGCTGCAGCGGGAACACGATTCGGAACGAGCGGTAGCCCGAGAATCAGGCCAGCGCTTCAGCGAGAGCAGCTTTTTATATTAGAGAGCGATAAACCATTTCCCGGGAATCCTGTGCGCAAAAGACCAGTACGCGGAGGGGGGGCGATTATTTCCCAGACGTCACCGGGGGAGAGGAGAGTTGTATCCCTATTGTGCAATTGTGGAGGGCGTTAGGGCGTTAGGGCCTTAGACTAACGTCTCTCGCATCCAGCGACCCGATTACTTAGTAGTCGGGATCTTCAGGCTCATCACTCCTGGGCACCAGGAGCCGAGCCTCTTCTTCGAGACGCCTCTCATCACGGCAAAACATAACCGCCTCACGGGGGTCACTAAATCCATGCAACTGAGCAACTCGATACATATCAAGAGCCTCGGGGAAAACCAACCCGTACTCTGTGGCAGGGTCACAATTCCGCCCCGAGGCCTTTTGAGCAACACCCAGTCTCCCTTCCCACAACGCTCGGACCTCCTCAGACGGCTCAGCACAATCTCCGAGCATCGGGGGAGGGGACACCGCCAAATTGGGACGCAGGCCTCTCCGAAGCCCCGACCTCTGGGTCGCCAGACCTGGGTGCCTGGGGCCGAAACAGGGTCCCGCGAGGCCTTCCCCAGGCCTGTGACTAAGCTGCACACTCGCACCACACGAGATGCAAAACAAAACTGGGGCCCCCGACACATCACCGACGACGGGGGCCTGCACAACATTGTGCCCAGAGAACTTCCAAGTCTGACAACTCACCCGCTTAAGCCCCGAGATGCGGGGCACCAGGTCGGGAGAAGCAGCCGAGGAGCCAACGGAGAAACCGAGAGCAGCGGAACCAGAGCTAGCCGAGCCCTGACTCCCCACAGGATAA